AAAAGTACTCGCAAAAGGTTGCAAAACAAGTTTGAAACCAAATATAGTACCTGCTCACAGTATGTGATTTTGGACGCAGCTTAAGTCTTAATAAGTGAGTCACTGAGTCATTCATTCAACAGAGTTGTTCACGCAGCTGATTCAGCTGACTGTCTGTATGAATGAGTCATTGAATCATGGACTCAACTGATTCATTTGAAAACACAAGATCATTTAGCAATGAAACCCCTGAACAATAGTTTTGACCATTGAAGTCTTAAAGGGTTTTGAGCACTTTCAGCTGGACTAAACTGGGATAAACCAGCTAAACACAACATGGCCAGGCTGAGAGACCATCATAACCAGTTGAGACCAGCTTAGAGTGTTTCAGCCAGGGTTATTCAGCAGGGAAGTACTAGAGCTATTTATAAATGTCTGTTGTGTAGTAGCCTTAATAAGCAATCGATGTGTCAGACTTTAAAGGTGTGCTTAACCAAACATCTAACAAAACAAAACAAAAAATTCCTGAGCCGAGTTGAATCCAGTAATCAGGCATTACAGCTGACGAAGGGGCATGTCTGACTGTGAACGTGTATATATTGTCATTATTATATAATCAAAAGGAAAATCTACTTGATGATTTCAAGCTAGTTTACTGAATCGATCAACAGATGATAAGGACTGATGCTGATGTCCAAAATCCCACTTTGAAACCAAAGGCATTTCCAAACTTTTGAAGGCCATTGTAGTATATAACAATGTATCTTATGCAACGCAGAATAATGTAAGCAGTTCATGATGATATAAACACAAATACCATGTGGTTTCAAACCAACGAACAGTCAGTTTTTCCCCATCGACAAAAGTAGAAGAGCTCTAAGAGACAGGGAAGAGCGGCGTTTACCAGGTGATGTATTTCAAAGCGTTTCCTTAAAACACTAGCTGAAGTAATGAGAATTAAATCATTTAGGCAAGCGTGAGCCCCACTCAGCAGGCTCCAGTCCCAGGGTCAACTGCCTGTAGACCCTCATTTACACAGCATTTGTATTCATGACGGGACAGCGCTAAATATTTAACAACAGTCTTTCAGGAGATACTACTGTTGAGCTCACAGGTCAAATCATTTTGATTTCTAACCATCTGATGTAGCTATGCTGTAAGCTGCAATGTGAAATTAAACAAAAAAATCTGAACATTGCAATGACAAAAGCAACATATGAAATGCTATGCAATAGTACTGCTCTGGTAATATTTTCTTATTCCAGAAATATTTAAAGGTAATACTTTCTTAAATTCTTAAATAAGCGCATGTCGTTTCACTATACATACAACTTTTTACGCAATATCCCAAAATTCACATCATTTAAATCTCGGCAAATGGGAAAGTCTTAATGAACACTCAGTAACATGCAACTTCCACCTAAAAAAATACTAATTAGGCAATAATTATCATATTTACGGACCATTTACCAGATGTTCCATATTAAATCAGGCCTCTAATTAAGTTTGCAGTGGAGATTCAATCAAATTGAGCAAACGTATCTGATTAAACGCAGCTCTCTGTTGGTCATGTTGCTTGTGACGCAGTTTATGCCAGTTGTGCTTCAGCACTGCTCTCCTGCAGGCAATGTGAAAAAACACATTTTCATTTTTCATATGAGCAAGTATCATCTGCTGCTGTTGTTGAAATCTTTGCGGTTTAAAAACGGACTCTGCTGCTTTCGCTTTTTGACTGCAGGCTCTCTGCAGTTCGAGGTTTCTTTGTTTTGACAACCCAGATCTTTTTTTTTTTAATACATGAATATTGAAACATGAAATAATAATAATTAAAATGCTAATCTAAATATGAAACTAAAACCAGCAAGTCACTTGATGCATTAAAATATGCCTACTTCATATTATATACTAAGTATGTGAAAAGAGTAGTATATCCGAATTCATAGTACTCAAAAAACAGCAGCCAGTAGGCGAAAAGTATCTGGACAACCTACTGCATCTACGAGATCCTGGAGTGCACATTTGATGGACATTTCACTTCGGCAAATGGGAAAGTCTTAATGAACACTCAGTAACATGCAACTTCCACCTAAAAAAATACTAATTAGGCAATAATTATCATATTTACGGACCATTTACCAGATGTTCCATATTAAATCAGGCCTCTAATTAAGTTTGCAGTGGAGATTCAATCAAATTGAGCAAACGTATCTGATTAAACGCAGCTCTCTGTTGGTCACTGATCGTCCTCTGTTCTATTGACTGTCTGATTTTCTCTCATGCACACACAGGCTTGTTCAGCACTCCGGCAGACAGCTCTTGTGAATGACAACACAGCTTGTTATATTGAGATTAGAAATGAATGGATACAGGGGGCAGTCTGTGTGTGTGTAGGGGTGTTAAATTCCATCTAAATGTTTAATGGTGGTATCATTCTCGAATACGGTCACACACAGAGAGGTACACACCTGTAAAGGTGACCCGCACGACACAGCATAATTAAGAAAAAGTCTTCGGCTTTTCCATGGTGAAAGAGCAAGCTGCTCTAATGATACGGGTTAAATGCTGTTATACGGCTCATTAAAATATATGATCTGCATGAATACAGACAGAATGCAGGTCTGCGTCAGAGAAAAACGGTTACAGACTGAAGTGCAATTTTTGCTGATTTGAATCTGAAACCCCCCCCCCCCCCCCCCCCAAAGGGAAATCTTGTATAAGATAATTAAACTGAACAAAAGAAAATTAGGACTGTCGATTTAACCAGATTGAACAGTTCAATAAACAAGAAGTTAATATTATATTACATTTTAGATATAATATTGTCTGTTTTTGCTCAGTTTGGCAAATGAAAATAGAATTGTTGTGCATCTCCGAGCAATAAACAGCAGTTTTGTTACTGAATGAATTCGCATTTTTTAACAAATCGAGTGAGTCAGTGACTCGAGTAATTTGCTTTGTTTCTGAATGAATCAGCTGTTTGAATGAATCAGTTGAATGAATGATTCAATGACTCTCTCATTAAGTCTGACAGTTACCTACTGACAGTTTTAGATTCATATTTAGAGTATCATCTCATGTTTTTAAAAAACAATTCATATTTTAATATTTTTAAAACCCATTAATGCACATCTAAACGCCATTAATCTCAGAATTATTTATGTAACTGTAATTACAGTGTAAATGCATTCATGCTGTCTCTGAACAGCCTAAATGCCACTTCAAATGCAGCTTCTGAAAACAATGTTATGGCCACATTGCAGCCTTAAAAGTTTGTGTGTGATAAATATTTTGTTGAAATCAAATATTTCTTTCTAAAGCTACTTTTTTTTTTTTTTTTTTACTTTTTCGTCTATTCAATGCTTTTCTCATTTAAAACAACAATGACTTAATCATTTAGGGGGTAATTTCTCAGCCCAGACTGATGTGATTAATTTGCTATTAATTCATTAATCAGCATATCATGTAATTTAGAAAAAAAAAAAAAAGAATGGCTTCACAGTCCTAATAAAAACCGAAATATTTTTTGTAGTTTGATTTTGAAAGGTAGATGGGCTCCATTCGGAAGTATGTTGTGTGAAATCCCCAGTAAAACAATTAGAATTGATTTATTTACTAGGAAAGAGTGCTGATATAATACAGGCACACATATCTGCAGTCACAAATCTCAGCTGTCCAGCAGCAAGTACTGTGTTTTCTTCATTTTATAGTGTTCATTTTCACAGTTCAGCTGGTTTGTTCATCATGAGCGAGTGAAGATTAAAGCCAAACCAAAACCTGCTTTCACTGTGTCACTTCCACATCGTGAGGACAGAGATTGAGTTTTCGGTGGCAAAACACACTTCCAAAAGACTGTAATTGTGACTATTTGTGCATGTTACCAAAGCGGAGTTGAGGTGGTGTTAAGAGCCTTCCAGCACTAGGCAGCAAGAATGCGTTCCTTCATAAAACAGGAGGAGTTTTGAGAGAAATGAAAGGGTTTCAGAAGGAGGAGAAGTCAATTGACTCCAAGGGGTGAGATTACAGCATGAACTCTGCTTAAGAAAGGCTGACAACAACAAACATTTATGTATCAATATCACTAAAGTTCAACACGCTTTGAGAAGGAACAAGTGAATGATGTCAATATCATGCAAAAATGTCCTCATTACTTTGACTTCATGTCTTCATGAGCAGCACGTGTCAAATGTGGAATGGGGAATGCCATGGGAATACAACAGTCATAAACATAAGGCCAAATATGATGTGAAAATCAAAGGGAAAACTGTTTTAAAGCATTGTCAGCTGCAAAGTGTAAAAAAAGAAAAATCAAGCACATTGCAGTAATTAACTTGGGCTGTATGGAATATATACAGTACTTGTTAAAAGTTTGGAAACATTATGATTTTTAAATGTTTTTTATTAGGTCTCTTCTGCTCACCAAGGCTGCATTTATTTGATCAAAACAGTAATATGTTACAATTTAAAATAGCTGTTTTCTATGTGAGTATCTGTTAAACTGTAATGTATTTCTGTGATGCGCAGCTGTATTTTCAGCATCATTCCTCCAGTCTTCAGTGTCACATGATCTTCAGAAATCAGTGTAATATGCTGATCTGCTGCTCAGTTACCCTTTAAGATGTGTTCACATTTACTGCTGTCTGGCTATATTTTGATTTGCAGTATTGGCAATAGACAGTGGACAGTGAAATTTGTGATTGACTGGATTTTGGCCACAAACAATGGGAAATATGACCACACTTATTCACAACAAAAAGAAAAAACAAAACGGTAAAAAACGGTAACTTGTGACTTTTTATCTTACAATATATATTTTTTTATCTCTCACTATTCTGACTTTTTTTTCGAAGAATTGCGGGATATAAAGTCAGAATCCTAATATATAAACTCAGAATTATCAAATGAAAACTACAAGAAAAACTCTGAATTGTGAGATACAAATGTTACTTTTTTTAATTCCGTGCCAGGCTTCAATACGTTTCCCTCTGTTAGCTGCAGGTTAAACATCTTAAAGTTCGGCTCACCGTTGTCTTTTCCTCTCTCATACTCTCCTTTGCTTTCAGTGCTTCATCGGTTTTAGCTGAAATAAGAAAAAAAGCACATTGCAATATTAGTAATGAGTTATAAACAGCACATTTAATACTTCATTAGGACATCTTTTATGCTTTAATGTCTCTCTGCATATGTACACTTCTCCCAGTTTGCACACCTTAAGCACATACTTATCGAATAGTTTTTCAGCGTGCTAATTAAAAGCCTGAGAGAAACCCTTACGCGGTGGAAACAGTTTGTGTACAAGTCTTATGGCAATTCATTTAGTCTGTTGACTCGCTTCTCTCCTGCCCTCCACATAATGAAGACGTTAGCCGAGATGAAGACATATAGTGAGCAGTGAAGGGGGACTATCAATACAGCCTGTAAATTAATTATACCTCTGTTCCCGCACGTAATTTATTCTAAAGCGTTCGTGTCTCCCAGGAGCAATTTGCCTTTATTGCTGTTCCACTCGCTGATGAGAGGAGTCATGCAAAATTGAGTCCCTCATAACATTACCTTCTACGAGTTTCAACTTTCAAGTGAAAGGAGAGGAGAGGGTAATCACAGTCATTAAGAAAAGCAAATTGTACAGTTCAGTCCAAATTCAAGTGGATAATATGATTGTTTGAGTGGACATTAGAAAAAAGGCACGATGTGGTTGGCACGCTAAAACCGAACAACCTTCAGTTTCTGTCTACCAATGCTCCACAAGTCTTTTAACCAGCGTATTTAACTCTTCTCGAGCTCAGTTTGTCTCTCCGCTTATCTCCTTAGAGCCAAACCCTCTCATTGCCATCAGTGTGCCTTGGTGCCACTGATTCTACAAGACTCTGTAACTCTACTGGACGGATGGAAACCAAATTGTACATTTCTTCATTTGGTGTTTTGATGATGGTGGTGGAGAATGCTTTCATATTGGCCCACAAACTTCCATTGGTGTGTAAATGCACTGAATTCTGGTGACTGTGAAGGACATGCACATGATTTTCATCCTCATCAAGCCATTCAGTCAATATTGTTGGAATCACTTTCAGAACTTTTTTTCCCTTTTTTTCCCACTGATGAATGAAAACAAAACATTGACAGCCAATCAGAATCCACACCTGAGAGCTTATGCATTTAAAGCTGCAGTGTGTGCTTATAATAAACAGAGCGTTATTGTTTGTTGGTGTGGATGCTAATATGTGACCCAGGAGCACAAAACCAGTCTTAAGTCGCTGGGGTATATTTGTAGCAATAATCAAAATTATTTATTTATTAGGATATTAAGTAAAGATCATGTTCCATGAAGATATTTAGTAAATGTCCTACCGTAAATATATCAAAACTGAATTTTTGATTAGTAATATGCATTGCTAAGAACTTCATTTGGACAACTTTAAAGATGATTTTCTCAATATTTCGATTTTTTTGCACCCTCAGATTCCAGATTTTCTAATAGTTGTATCTCAGCCCTATGCCCTATCCTAACAAACCATACATCAATGCAAAGCTTATTTATTCAGCTTTCAGATGATGCATTAATCTCAATTTCACAAAATTTACCCTTATGACTGGTTTTGTGCCCCAGGGTCACATATAGTAATCATCATAATGATCATTCATGGCGTTAATGGGTTTTAACAGAGCCACTGGATTTTCCTTTGTCATCCATCTGTATAGGAGCTGAAGCTGATGATGCACACATTAGATATATCATAATCCCAGCATTAGATAATGCATCACTATCCGCAGCAGAAAGCTAAAGACTTTCACTTCATCTGCACTTAATCCCAGTTTGGTTGGCAGGATGGATAGTGGAGCTTCCGCTGAAATTCAATTGTGATTATGTGTGTAATTGCAGCTTGGGGCCCCTAGAGTCATGTAGGCATGCAGGACTATGTTTCATTGAAATGATCACACAGAAACAAATCCATCCGCCTCCGTCATCCAGTGGGCTGATAAGCAGCGATGGCTCGTCAGAATCCGATGCAATAAGGCAAACATCAGAGAGAAATGGCCGGGGCCCATTATCAGTGATTGATGGAGTGCTGGTGCGTTGAACACGGGGGCTCAGAGGGGCCTGCCATTTAGATTGAATCAAGCGCTTCAGCTTTCTTGGGTTTATCCGCAACCGTAGAGCCACACGCAGAAGCGGAAACTTTCTGTCCCTCTTTACACAGCAGCAATTCATTGATATAACACCGCCGACTGAAGGAGGTTACCGGCTCCTGAAATAACATTACGCGGACATGTGAGATAGGATATTGAATTCAAGCGTGCGGGAGTGTCGAGCTGAAGCCGTGCTAAAGCAGGACGGATGAGCTGCTGCGGGGTGCGATGCTGTTTATTTGCGCAGGTTTGTTTGGGCGAAGTTTACAAGTGCGTTTGAGAACGTCAATGCATGAAAAAGCTTTGTGAAACTGAAAGGATTGTGGAGAATCACAGTGCTGTGAGAAAAGTGTGAAATGATCAAATATTGATCCTGAAACACTGATCACCTTTTAGCCTCATCAATTAACACATAATAGAATGAACTTAACTCTAAACTCTTATAGCTCAGGATGAACGGCTGAGGGAACACACTTTGTAACCATTCTACAGAACGGGTTTAAATTTAGAGTAAGACATATTGTCTTTTCATGCCATGCTTCTAGTAAAAAAACATTCAATTTGCATACAATATTTTCATATTGTTATGGAATACACCTCATGCACATTTGTATTCACTATATTACAAAGGATTATATTTATTAGTGCTGTCAAATGATTAATCGCACACAAAATAAAAGTTTTTGTTTGCATAATATATGTGTGTGTGTTCTGTGTATATTCATTATGTATATATAAATACACACACATACAGTATATATTTTGAAAATATTTTCACGTCTATATTTATATTCATATAATTTATATTGTAAATAAATATATTTAATATATAAACATAACATAATTTTCTGAAATATATACATGCATGTGTGTGTATTTCTATATACATAATAAATATACACAGTACACACACATATATTATGTAAACAAACACTTTTATTTTGGATGCGATTAATCGCGAATAATCGTTTGACAGCACTAATATTGATCTATTATCTATTTTATTTATCTGTTATTTTCAACCTCCCTGTAAAAATGTTTTAACAGATTTTTCTAAAAGATTTTCAACTGTCAACAATCTCAATAAAAAGCCAGTATATTAAAAACAATCAATTGTTCCCATCATTATTGTATTTTGAAGGACAAACACTACTGTTGAATTTGAACTTTACACTTAAACAGAAATCACCACCATTTTCAAACAAGCGAGTGAAATAAACAGTACTATTCGACAACCTGAGAACATCTTTTTTCAGTATGTTTACAGTACAGTCTTTCCCGATCCTTTAATTATGTTTATTGATTTAAATTGAGTCACTACTCAAATACTCACATCACGACTGAAACTCTGTTTGATATTGCGATGTTTTTAAGGTCATTTTGAGCATTACTTTAAAAAAAATTCTGGCCAGCACATGTCTGGAAACATTATATTTTAGATTAAAACACGAAAACGTTTATTTAATTGCATAAAATATTGACAGCTCTAAAGTTACAAACGGGTTTTTCAGACTCTGGGGCACATTTACTGTACTTCAAAATGATGGGATCTAATCATAAACGCTCTGGAAATCTCACTTTCTGCTCAAAAATGAATGGACACAGCTAAAATCAGGCTCTGCCAATAAGCTAAAATATTGTGTGTTTCGGTAGTGACATGAAAGTGTTTTTACTACATTTTTTTAATCATTGTTATTTAATTATTTTCATTATTATTTAAATATATATTTTTTATTTATTATTAAAAATTAAACACTGAGTATCTACATCTTTTTAATTATTATTACCATCTTTTATTATCTAAATATATTTTATTATTTTCATTATTATTTAAATATTTTTAAATTATTCACACACACACACACACACACACACACACACACACACGCACACACTCTCTCACACACACACACACACACACACACACACACACACACACGCCTCATAATATAAAGTATTCCACCAATTTTATTTAGCATATATTTAGCTTTTTTATTATTTAAATTAATGATTTGGGTTTAAGTGGATCATAACATCTAAATATACAAATTCAGCAGAATGGTCCACATACTCATCCTGAAAACACACAGCACAGGAACGATACATCATGTGTGAGAGGGATTTCACATCAATAAAAGACAAGAATACTCCAAGGACGCACAAGACTCGCATTGTCTCCCTCCTTAAAACAGACCCTTAAACCGAATGATCCCAAAGCCATGCAGAATCCTCATCTTCAGCCTCAGGCCTCTCCATGAAACCACACAACAGCCGTAATAATCCTCTGTGATTAATTACTCTGGCCGTAATCTCTTACAGCGCTGCTGTGGAGGAAAGAAGAGCACAGAGGAGCAGGAAAAGCACCCGTAGCTGCAGGTTCAGCCGGCATACCTGCGCCTCTCTCCTGAGAAATCTGCCCCGCTCAATCCAATCAACATTAATCATGATTGCACAGTATCCGCTGTAGTGTTTCAACTAAACACAGCTATCATTTAAACCACGTAATAAATACTGTTCATAAACGAGTGAAAGGGCATTAGAATTGTGTGTACAGCATCACAGGTTCTCTGCAACTTATTAGGTCAATTGGCAACATGATTGGGTATAAAAAGAGCCTCTCAGAGAGATGTGTTTATGCCATGAAATTTAAAATCAACTTCTTTTTCCCTTAAAATGATACATTTTCTCAGTTTAAACATTTGATATGTCATCTATGTTGTATTCTGAATAAAATATTGAAATTTGAAACTTCCACATCATTGCATTCTGTTTTTATTCACAATTTGTACAGTGTCCCAACTTTTTTGGAATCGGGTTTGTATACAATCATGTTATCAAATAATTCAGAAAGTGCACACAATGTTCTTTAACAAGCCTATTTCACAGTTTTCAGTGAGCTTCAGAGAGGCTGGGGTCTGATTTATGACATCCTGTTGTCTTGGGCCTCAGTGGAATTTTTGTGACTCCTCGTGCCTCAACTCGGTTTTGACCAAATCTTAGATTGTCTGATTCGGTCTGATATCCTACACACGGATGGATGTTAGACAGCCTTGGGAGAGATCTTGTTTATCTAGTGCACTCATGCACCTCACCATCACTATGCTTTAATCACTGTGTGTGTGAGAGAGAGACAATGAGGCATAAAGGGAGACTGAAAGAGAAAGGCTAAAAACAAAACAACTACTGTAGTCTTAAAATACGAACTGGTGTGGAGTCAAACAATCAGGCGGGCGTGTATGAACGCTTGGGAAGTCGTGGCCTAATGGTTAGAGAGTCGGACTCGTAACCCAAAAAGGTTGTGGGTTCGAGTCTCGTACCGGCAGGGATTGTAGGTGGGTGGGAGTGAATGTACAGCGCTCTCTCCCACCTTCAATACCACGACTGAGGTGCCCTTGAGCAAGGCACCGAACCCCCAACTGCTCCCCGGGCGCCGCAGCATAAATGGCTGACCACTGCTCCGGGTGTGTGTTCACGGTTTGTGTGTGTTCACTGCTGTGTGTGTGCACTTTGGATGGGTAAATGCAGAGCACTAATTCCGAGTATGGGTCACCATACTTGGCCACATGTCATGTCACTTCACAACACCCACACTTACACAAACTCAACACGCTCACAGAATATGAATATCTGTAAATGAGCGTGTGTGTCCTGAGCGTCCACGTCAATCAAAAACAATCTGAATGTCAAAGCTCGGCAAAATGTGATAAATCAGCCACTTGCCAAACGACAAACATGATATTTGCTGTAGCACCCCACAGTTGGAAAAATGTCCCTTTGAATCAGGAATTCACTTTACACTCACATTCCCTCTCTTTCTCACACACACACACACACACACACACACACACAGACACATACAAAGAGCTGTGGCTTTAGTCCTGTAAAATATACAGACACAAGTGTGAGTGTTTATAAAGTAAAGCTTTCAATGACAACTAACCAGTGTGAGCATCACGATTAAAACTACTCCATTCACATCATCATTTGCATGAAGGAAATTAGACTTTGGCAGAATATAATTTGTGCAATGACAAATATAAAGAATGGCCAGGCTATTTACTCATTATTTGCAATCGCAGATAGAAACCACAGCCTATTTCACTGTGGCTCACATTGAGGCTGAACAACAAAGAAAAAAACAAAACAGAAAATCACTTTGCTTAAATGGTAAAACTTACATTCGAGTAAAACTTAAATGATATTCGTGAAGTATTAACAACTAAACAATTAGAAAGGGAGCAATGAATTATTGATCAATTATTCATAAAAAGGCCTGGATTTCTATTTTGGATGTGAGAGATCAATGCCTCTAAAATCAGACGTCTGTGGTCGGACCGGGCCCTGCTTCTTCCCTTCTCCAGCCACTGACAAAAATATGCACGGTTTAAAGAGAAGACAGGCGCGATGAAGATATGAGAACCACCATCACCAAGAGTAATTAATTAATTACATGTGTATAGCATGGTGTTGTTTTGAATCGGGCCCCAGAGAGGGGGAAGAGAGCGCGCAAACATCACAATCAAACCCTGAGCGCTGATCAAATATTCCATTTCCGCATATTCCACCAGACGCTTCTCCACACTACTGTGGGCTCATTTCTGCACTTCGCCTGAAGTTCCGACAACATCTTTCTGAGAATAATTCGAGATGCTTTCTTTAATTTACAGAGTAAATACTGGAGATTTGGTTGCAGAAACAAAACAGTCTGAGAGTTTTCATCATGTCCACATGAGACTCTGCCTGATGAAGCTTGTTTTATTCATGAGCGTTTGGAGAGAAATCTGCGTAGGCCCGTCTTTCTCTTTTGAAGGTATCTGTCATGAGTCGATCTGAGGACGTACTGCTTGAAGCCTCTAATAGCGGAAGGAGTACAGTGGTGTAAGAGGAGCTCGTCTAAATGTAGTTTGAGTGACGAATGGAGCTCAAAAGTAGTTCAGGCAGACCACGGCGTGACAGCCAGCATCAGCTGATCGTAACTCATCCCACTACAATTAAATAAAATCTACAAGTTCATCCGTACTCACACTTGCCTCAGTCTGTCGCACAAACATGCGCTTACCCTCCTCCATCCCCAGCTCCTCCTTATACAGGTACATGATCACTTAGTGTCAGCTAATTGTTGTTTAATCTTGTCCAGTCTCATTTACAGACCCGTATCACTTTTGCATGGAATTTTATATCTGTTGCATTAAAAACAATTCTGGTAATTGCATTATGCTTTGGGAGTTTCAAATCTCAGTGAGGTTTGCTTGTGGACAGCACAGACCTTACTTATGATCATATCCTCAACAAATTCACACCTCAGCAGTCGAAATGACAATGTCATATGTTTAACAGAAATGAGGTCACAGAAAAAGTGAATGGACGAAAGAAAAAAGCAAAGTCTGCATTTTCTCTTACCGCAGGAACGTTGGATGGGTAGTCACAAAATATACCAAAGGACCGAATTTAATCTGAAATGTAAAGTTAGTTCTCAACTACAAGAGGTCGTCAATGACAGGATTAGATTTTAGGATGTAAATTCATTGTTACATTCATTGTTATGTAAGCAATATTCAGAAATCGTCATTTCGTCAGTAATCCATAATAACGCTTCCTCCAGTGAAGAAGTCCATCTCCTGTTGTCTCTCACATCAAAATCCAGCCACATATTTGTTTAGAGCTGTTTTAGCTTGTAAACGGAGCTTGATCTGTGCAGATCTCTCTCCTGATTCAGACCAGACCACTTTTTCATCGGAGGAAGCGTTATTATGGATTTGTGTTCTAGCCGGAAACAATTGTTTGGAGTTAAAAATGCCTTATTGATGGACTGGAGTGGTGTGGATTATTGTGATGTTTTTATCAGCTCTCGTTCTGACGGCACCCATTCACTGCAGAGCATCCATTGATGAGACACTGATGCAATGCTACATTTCTCCAAACCTGATGAAGAAACAAACTCATCTACATCCTGGATGGCCTGCGGGTGAGACATTTTCAGCAAGATTTCCATTTTTTGAGTGAACTAGACCTTTAAAATGACGGCTGTATAAATGGAAGTCTCGTCTTATTGTTAAGAGATGCAACATTTAAGATGCAATTGTAGTGTAATAAATTAATGTGAACGTGAGCTCAGTTTTAACCTTCAAAGGCCTTGATATACTTCAAGCAAAAATGAAGAACAAACATGTGTGACACCATTTTGAACGAAAATCTTAATGTCCTGGGTCTTCCCAGCTTTATAATGGCAGTGAATGGGTGTTAATAATCAATAGTCCAATAGAAGTCCAATAAACTGCACCAATCCATCATCAAAAGTGCTGGACAATAACATTGTCCAATAGCCAAGTAAGATTTGATCCCTCCAGAAACCTGTCACTCACATGAAATAACAGCAATTACAGGGACAAAACCAAGTCCCATCCTACATTATTTTCTTAATCAAGAAACCATTTCACTTGAATACGTTTCAATAAGGTAGATGATCACGATTTCAGTTTTATGCCGACTCAAACAGTAAAAGTAAACTGATTCAGCATCTTCACAATATGCCATCAACATATTGATGCAACACTGCAATAAAGTGACAGGATCCACCGTGCAACTCGACTTTCCTGAAGACGTATGATAATGACATCTGATTATGGCACATTACGCTCCAGCACTCGGTGCACCAGAAAAGAGCTACTTGCCATGCAACACACCCAGCATCTGCTGATAGGTTGACGGACACTGGGCAATTAAACCAAAAGAGCCACGACGCACAGCTGGACTGGGGCTAACACTTCAACACCTGGCACAAAGGCCTAGAAACACGGAGGTCCCAGAGACTGTGCTTAGTCAAGCGCCTGAGCTCAGAAGAGAGGGGGCGCTGGAGACAGGCCCGGGGAAAACTCTATTTTCTGTTATATTAAAGCCTAATTGCAATGTCAAGTTGCTCAGTATGCTTTCGGTCCGGGGAAACGAGACCAAAGAGCTATACATATACAGAGAGATGCAAATCAGAAGAGATGCAAATCAGAAGAGGAGGACATGTGCTGAGGGAGGTGAAATCACAACCTGTTGAAGAAGAGAGAGAGAGAGAGAGTCCCACCACAGAAGACTCCACTTCTCCCTGTCATCTTTTAATGCTTATTTTCATCGCTTTGCTTAAAATATTGATAATCAATTAGCGCTACGCCTGTTTTGTTACAGAATTGGTGTCAAAGTCTATCAGTCAGTTCAAAGCTCACTCAGAGTTCATTTTACCGTGGTCGCTCTGCCTTTGGAGGAGTCATTAGGCGTGGGGAACATCGCCCGGGGTGCAATCGCCTATTCTCTTTCATTATAGCCGAGATGAGAAAGGTGAGGGAGATTACTAGGACTTTGGAATGATCACAAAGCCCCGCACAGGCTGTCAGATTCCCCCTCCGTGTAATTCATCTCGTCCCCACCACACCCTTCACAAGGTGCTCTCATCTGAGCGGCGGCAGGGGTTTGGAAATGGACATTATTCATGAACATCTGCAGCAGGGCGAATATTCTCCACCTTCAGGGGGGGAACCTGTCCTTTTGGCTTTAAAATTAAAACGGTGCTGCTGGAATTAAAGGGATAGTTCACCCAAAAATTATGTCATTAATTACTCACCCTCATATCATTTCAAACCTGTAAGTCCTTCGTTCATCTTCGGAACACGAATTAAGATATTTTTGACGGAATCTGAGAGCTGTCTGACCCTGCATAGACAGCAACGCAACTGAAATGTTCCCAAGTCCAGAAACATAGCAAGGAGATCTGTAAAATAATCCATCTGACATCAGAAAGCTACGAGAATACGTTTTGTGCGCAAAAGAAAAAAAACGACTTTATTCAACAATTCGTCTCCTCCGCAGAGCACCACCCTGTAGCGCCATTTTGGAGAGTATCAGCTGGACATAAACAGCGTATGCTGTTCTGTGTCACCTGCGTCACACCATATCTGTTTCCTACGTTGTTGTGATTTGATCTGAACGAAAACAGCGTATCCGGCGTGACGCTGTTTTTTTCTCACATAAAAAGTATTCTCGTAGCTTCGTAAAATTACAGTTGAACCCCTGATGTCACATGAATTATTTTACAGATCTCCTTGCTACGTTTCTGGACTTGGGAACATTTCAGTTGCGTTGCTGTCTATGCAGGGTCAGACAGCTCTCAGATTCCATCAAAAATATCTTAATTCGTGTTCCGAAGATGAACGAAGGACTTACAGGTTTGAAACGACACGAGGGTGAGCAATTAATGACAGAATTTTCATTTTTTGCGTGAACTAACCCTTTAAGGGACAAAAAGGTGGACAGTGCTAGAAAATTAATGACAGAAACGATGGATGGAGAGATCTGCTCGTCTTTACCGGTACAGTATCAGTGGTTTTGATGAGTTTGGAGGTTTGAGTTTGCAGTATGACCTGACCGGGAATACTGTACATGGTCTTCATCAACAGTATTTAGATTCGAAGTGCTTTGGGATGGATAGGGAAGACCTTACGAGAGCAGAGGAAAAATCATGAATGCTGGTAATCTACAAAACATTTCTGATAAATGAAAAACGTGTCCAGAGGCTCCAGTATCAGTTATGCAATGTAATGTAATAAGTAATGCAATATTCTGTGAACATACCTGAATGACAAAAAACAAACAAACAAGCTCGCTCCAGGATCACATGACATTTCAATGATTTTATAAAAATATTAAGATCATTTTTAATTTTATTAAAATAATATGATTAGCTAATTTTTTAAAACTAATCCCACTAAATTAACATTACATTTGCAGACATTTTTTTCAAGCATCCCTCTCAGTTAAAAAAATAAAATAAAATAAAATAAGAAGTTCATAATTTGAACAGTAAATGAGTATAAAAATGCTACAGTAAAAAGCTGTTCATTAAAGGCAAACAGTAAGTTCCCTCACTATATACGGTGAAAAGGCTGTAATATAAGAAATGGGCATGTAAGGCACTGTTAAATTTACAGTTTTTGGAAGCAAAAAAGAACAAGTCATCTTAAAATTTACAGTGAAAAAAAACAAAACAAAATGTAAATTGACATTTCAAGAATTCCCTGTGACACTTAACACTGTAATTAATAATTATGTATCTTCTTAAGTTTCTCTTTCAGTTATGTACTTTAGGGTTTAATAAATCTTATGTAGCTAAATTAACGTTTATTGCATTATGTTAATGTCATGCTTGTTACCATGACAGTGTTTTGTATTTGTGTGCACCTTTTAAATTTACCTCTGAATCGCTGATTGGGATGATCTTTAATTCATCATGTGTCTTTCTCATGACCACCTGTGCTTTTATGGTTGTTATCAGTATATTATAAAGGTATAGTACAGTACCAGTCAAAAGTTTGGACACTTTCCCATTCGTGTGTCCAAACATTTGACTGGTACTATATATAGAATATACAGTATATACATAAACAGAATATACAGTGGGTACGGAAAGTATTCAGACCCCCTTAAATTTTTCACTCTTTGTTATATTGCAGCCATTTGCTAAAATCATTTAAGTTAATTTTTTTTACCTCATTAATGTACACACAGCACCCCATATTGACAGAAAAACACAGAATTGTTGACATTTTCGTGGATTTATTAAAAAAGAAAAACTGAAATATCACATGGTCCCAAGTATTCAGACCCTTTGCTGTGACACTCATATATTTAACTCAGGTGCTGTCCATTTCTTCTGATCATCCTTGAGATGGTTCTACACCTTCATTTATCCTCAAATCCAGGTGTGAAAAACTTGTTGGGTCTTTCCCAAAAAGACTCATGGCTGTATTCGATCAAAAGGGTGCTTCTACTAAATACTGAGCAAAGGGTCTGAATACTTAGGACCATGTGATATTTCAGTTTTTCTTTTTTAATAAATCTGCAAAAATGTCAAC